AGCCAATACAATATTCATAACACTTCAAAAACGCAAGCGCGGTCAAAACAGTCCGAGTCGATCCACACTCCCAAGCATGAACACATTTTGACTATTTACAACAATCACGGATTATTTCGGATACGAAACCAGAACACTGGAATGAGAGATCCGAAGTAGTCCCAGAAAAACCAGAACACTTTTTATCTACTGCGCATGAGCCCGACAGTTGTGGATCGTTATTTCTCAAAACCAGAACAGACCTTTTAAATTGTTGTTGCTTGTTAGAGAGATTAGAGAATATTGATTATTTATTTATTTAGCTTTTTAGTTGTTAACTGTAAGTAAACAATTAAATATGCTTCCCAATGTTCGTATTTATGATTTGAATCGCCGCAAAAGGGAAATGAACCAAGCATTAATAAGCAATAGATGGTTTCTACGGAATAGGTACAATCCATTTGAACTTCCAGATGTAAGATTTCGTGAATTATTTATAAAAGGGTGGATTCATAAACTACGTTCAGTTCGCGCTCAGTTCGAGTTGGCAAGACATAACCACAAATTCCACAAAATAAAATTATATTGTGGTGTTATTTTTGTTTTAATTATATTTGTAGATGGTGTTGGTTATAAAATAATTATGAATCCGTTATAATTTCTTATCCAAAACATATTTACCGTGTCATTCTGCTCTTGTTTATGTTGAACTCGAACGAGCGTGAACTGAACGCGAACTGAACGTAGTTTATGAATCCACCTTTGTAGGCTTAATAAGGAATTTTAAAAGCCATAATATATTTAAAAAACATGAACAAAACGCACAAAAGGGTAAAACACGAAAAAATAACGAACAAAGCAAAAGAGTAAAACAAGAAAAAAAAAACGTAAAACAGACAAAACAAAAGAGTAATCCATGAAAAAAAACGTACAAAAGACAAAGCAAAAAGTAAAACGCGGAAAAAACGTACAACAAGACAAAACAAACGAGTAAAACACGAGAAAATAAGGTAAAAAAGTGGAACTGAAATTTATAACTAAAGAAATATAACCAAATGTTTCTTATTGACTTTATACTTTATGGCGCGAATTCAAAACCTTTTTCTTATTCATATTGGACCTATCCGTAGGACAATCTACCAATTCGAGACCTTCCTAGCTATCGACTGACTTGAATCGAGTCATCCGTATCGTATTCCGTTCGTAATCGACAACATCGTTTCAAAATGGCCTATACGATACGGGTATGCCGTTCGTAATCCCGCTGCAGGCCTCGCAACGAAATGGAGACAGGCGTAACAAAAAAGCTACAAAAGTTACAAAAAATGAGCCTGGTCCGAGCTGGTGCCGCTACAAATATCCGCTAAGCTAGCGGATCCGCGCTCTTCTCAGGTTCAGTACAAGCTACAAAAGGGAGACTAGCGTAACAAAAAAGCTACAAAAAGTTACGAAAAACCAGCTGGGTCTGAATCTGTGCCGCTACTGTAACTTGACAGACCGGACCCTGACCTAGTTTTGCAAATACTTATAACCTTGGCCTAAATTTCGTCTAGTAGATCCCCACGAAGTGATGTTAAAACCCCCAGAATTTCGTTTAGAGTTCAATGTAGCTGTAATGGAGGAAGAACAAAGGAAACACCGAGAATAATTTTGAATACTGTTTATTTAACATCTATTCTTTTGTACAGCCGAACATTTAAATTATGTGCCATTTTTAGGCTTAACATTATGTTTATGTAGGCTTTCTAATGTGTCATTTCTAACCTCAGAGCTTTTAGTTCCCATAAAAGGGTAAAATAAAAGTCGGAAGTAATTTGGTATGTTTGTTTGTCTCCTAATATACAATCACACGTTTCCACGGAACTACTGAATTACGCATTGTCTAATAAAAGAGAGTACAACGGTAGCACGAGGAGTGTTGTGAGATATAAAATATTGCGTCGAAATGAGAACCTCTTCCTTTTTGAAGTCGGTCAAATTTAATATTTCTAATATGTGTAAAAACCGGAGTGTAGATTTACCTCACCGTGCGTCACGCCTTTCCCTAATATTCCAATGCCGTAATTTACCGACATACTCAGTCCTGTATGAACAACACTAAACGGTCGATCGGAGAACACCTGATATAAAGGGGGATGCCCGTCAGGCCCGCTTTTGGGGTATCTCAGTAGAGATCCATCCAAGCCTCTATCAGGCTTTAATTTACATAGCCGCAAGGGAAATACCATTTTTAGGCCCTTACTATTGAGGTCCCTGGCGGTCTATGGTGGCCTAAGGCGTCTTTTTCGGCACGATGCTCTTTTGCTCTGTCGATTGACAAATCAGTGTTATTAATCACAGTTCTGAGAATACGTTAGCTAGTCCACAAACACAATTTCACCTATTTATTCTAAATAAATAACAAACATACCGACTACTTCCGCGTAATGTCCCGCTAAAGATATGTGGATATGTACCAATAAATACGACCCTCCTCAATATTCATGATTCTACCCGCCGCTGTACATATCTCCTTTTTCCCGAAAATTCGATACACAAAACTAAAATTCCGTACGGCTAAAATGACACATTTGTCTACCCAATTTTGTTTTACAAAGAAAGACAGAAAACATATTTTTTAAACCGCAAACTTACTTCAAAATATATACAAATCCAGGCATTTACCGTACTAATCTACATCTGTTCGCCATTTAAAAGTAAAACCGAAAGTGTTTTTATCTTTACAGACACCCGAAACTTTACAATTCAGCCCTTTGGCCATAAATCTAAATAACTTAATTTATTGCTTGAGAGCATTGACCGACTTTAGAACTATTAATATTTATGACAACAACATCACTATAGATTCTCTAAATAACGTAATTTAGCACAATATAAAATCGTATAATTTTTCCCACAATAAACGTTTACCAATGAATACCAAAAATATGACAATAACACACAGACGCGAATGTTCCCGCTAATGAATATAAGAGTAAATAAAGTGATACCTGTGACCTATTAATGTTTGTCTAAATTCTCCCCCGGAATATCGGAATATTAATTACTAGTTTGATTACTTTAATAGTGCGATTATCGTTTTAATTATACGTAAAAGAAACCTTACAGAAATAAAAGTATACCGCTGACAAAAGCGACTATCCGGCGCAAGCTCGTTGGGTCAGCCAGATGGGTGACGAAATCCACTACGAACGTCGCCTAGAATAGTACTTTTAATCATTTAGTAACATTTTATAATGTTGAATCGGAGATATAAAATATCTGGCGTTTAACTAGACTAGCGAGGTATCGTCAGTATTAGTTACGCCAATATCTTAGTCGCTCGGTAGATACAACTTTACAAAACAGTTCTAGGAGCGAAATCTGTATCTACTCAACGTGTATCTGCTTTGGTCAAAACTGACTATATATCTCCTTTTACTTATATCTAGAATATAAGAAAAAGGTGGTCATCCTAAGGATAACTGGATATCTATGCAGAAGCCGTCGTTTATAGAAACTAATTTCTCTACTCCGTCGATATCTTTTATTTCCGTTGTCAAAATATAACAAAGACGCGGCCACCGTAATGGTAGCGATATCTCTTTTTAATTATATTTGAAGAATATAAAGAAAAAGGAGTCACCGTAATGGTAACATGGATATTTGCGTACTTTTGTTAACTTGACTCGGTGAAGAAGAAAAAGTTAATCTTTTTGCCCACAAAAAACCCGGGTATTTATACTTAAATTTCCCATATACGCCAATGTATCGGAAAGAGAACAACTATGCGTTCGAGCTTAAAGACTATAAAGCCCTGTATTAATTCCTGAATGTAACCCTTAAAAAACACATGTGTTTTTTAGCTAGTGGCCGTGATGCACGACACAAAGGCTGTTTTTCCCAGAAGTAATAAAACGGCGCCTAAAAGACGGGACTCGCTGGGATGATGTTTGAATTCGAAATAAAATTTGAATATAATATGTAATATATAAGAATTATTTAAATTAATTATCAACCCCCGGTTGTCGGATTTCACTACTATGGAATTTATGGAAATTCAAGCTAGCGGATCCGCTGTTTTTTCGGATCTGGGCAAAGCTACAAATTCGCAAATAGCGTAACAAACAAGCTACAAAAAACCCACCAGGTCTTGTATGGTGCCGCCACAGAGTGCCCGCTAGCTTGATATAGCTTTCAAGGCTTTGAAGAAATATTAAATTACAAAAATTTACCATTAGGTGAATTTTGGACTAACATCTTTAAAATAAAAAAATTCACAGGATTAACTAAATGTTTTTTTTTTTTTTTTTTTTTTAATGGCACTGGATATAACCAAAAGGCCAGACTATTGTAGTAATCCATAAATCTTTAATTGTTTTATCCACTATTGTTACATGATTACATTATTATTATATTTTGACTTACAGCTATCAAAATACCTGAGTTTGTAATTAATTATAAAAAATGTCTATTTTTTTATTATTTGTTTTTTTGATTATTTTTTTTTGTATTATTTTTTTTTGTATTATTTTTTTTTTTTTTTTTTTTTTTTTTCATTTTTTCCTTGGTTTCATTCTTTTATTTTATCATTTATTTTATTTTTTCGTTTCAGGTTTACAATATTTTTAGGGTAGCTCAGCTACTTACAATCTTGTATTAGTTTTTTTAACAAATTCATACAATATTTTATAAACTTTAACAATGTTTAATGAAAGCAGAACATCAATGTTTATTGGTAGAGGTATACCAATATTAACTAATTCTAAGTACATTGTGTCAGTATCTAACGAATTTAGGACACACTCTAAAATTATATATTTGTGGTTTATGATCATTACCCCATTCTTTTGCAGCAGCAGAAATAATTTTCTATCAACTATAAATATTAAATATTGTTAAATAATGTATTTAAAAATAGTTTTGGTACATTTATGTTATTTTAAAATATTATCTATTACGATTTTATTACCTTTTGGTTCAAAATTCTATTACGAAAAAAATAATTGGTGTGGCAACACTGGTCCCGCTCCAGACCCTGACTTGTCGCCGACAAGTAACGGGCAGAGATGTAGCAAGGTAGAGGAAATTAAAAGAAGAAGAATGTTAGGTTAAATGGTGTCTAGTTTAAAATTTGTAAACAGCAAGTGGCACGTGTTATGAAAATGGTTAAAAAACAAAAAAGAAAACTAGAAGAAGTCAAAGAAAGCATAGAAAGTACTCCACCAGCAGTACGACAGTCCGACGAACCATTAGAAACGAAGGTATAATTTTCTCTGTTTGTATTAAAAGAAAATCAATTTTTTATAATAGTTTCTAATTCACATTAAAATTACCGAATTATTTTTAGAGAAAATGGGTGAACAAACAAAGAGTTCTAATTTTCGCGGCCAGAGGTATAAACCACAGGGATCGACACTTAATGGAAGATCTCAAAAAGTTGATGCCCCATCACAAGCCGGAATCCAAAATGGAACGATCAAAAACATTGTCCGTCATCAACGAAATGTGCGAAATAAAAAATTGTAACAAAGCTGTGATGTTCGAAGGCCGAAAGAAAAGGGATCTGTACGTGTGGTTTTCCAACGTTCCCAACGGACCTAGTGTGAAGTTTCTAGTCGAAAATAGTAAGAAATATTCCATGAAAATGTAGTTTAACATTGTCAAATTCTTGTTTAATATCTCTAAACTTCTATTTTTTCAGTATATACGATGGAAGAACTTAAATTGACTGGCAACTGTTTGAGGGGCTCTAGACCACTTTTAAGTTTCGATAAGGTTTTCAATGAAAAGCCTCATTATGCAGTACTAAAAGAATTATTCACTCAAATATTTGGAGTTCCAAAACATCATCCTAAAAGTCAACCTTTCTTCGATCACGTCTACACTTTCACGGTTCTAGATAACAGGATATGGTTCAGGAATTTCCAGATATTGTCGGAAGAGGGAGCTTTAACTGAAGTCGGACCTAGATTTGTGTTAAATCCTGTAAGTACAATGCTTAAAATTTACAAACTTATTGTAAAATGTTGGGTTGATTACTAGTATGGCTAAATTATCATGAACACATAAGGTAACATATTGTGCAATAGTAATTTGTTGACAGTTGCACTAATATCGTTTGAAAATTGTTAACAATTTTAAAAAATGTGCCACCCTCTATTTATCGCTTTTTTTTAAATTTCAATCCTCTTATATTTTCTCCTTCGATAATAAATTTTGATTTCTTGACACAGTTATGAAAAACACTATGTAAGTATATTGTTTTAAATATATTCAAATACAACTTATTATGATCCAACCAGGCTTTTATAATATTTATCCCATTTACAATTTTTGATTTTATAGCCTCCCAAGTTTTACCTTCAAGCATTAATATGGTATCGTCTGCAAAAAATACTAAGACACTTCTAAGTTTAACACAGTTTATACTAGCTCACCCGACAGACGTTGTCCTGTCTTAACTATGAATATTGATTTCGAATTGGTATAATTAACTAAAAAAATATTTCAGAAACAAAGTGTTTATTATTCTAATGCTGTATGAAATACACCATTCTTTGTTTTTTTTTCTGGACAATAACAAACAACAAAAAAAGAATTAGCGAAATCGGTCCAGCCGTTCACGCCTAATACCGTGACCAAGGGAAATATGGATTCATTTTTATATATATATATATATATATATATATATATATATATATATATATATATATATATATATACATCATTCTATCATTTTGGCAACGATACATTGTGCTTTTTCCAACAATTTGGCGTCACAAGACGATGTGGCGTCCGTATATCGACGCCACTTTGTTTTTGCTTAATAAATTTCGTTGAGAGTGCGATAGATATACCTTTTCTATCGCATTCGAACTGAAAGTGACTGCATATTGTTAGGTCAAAATACTACCTACCTATCTCTGTTTGGTTTAGAGTAATTTTCACTTTTAGTGTGTGCCAAAATGATGGTAGAATGAAAAATTTATATACAATTAGTTCAGCGTTTTTCCATATTGGCGCTACTGTAGATGTATATCCAGCTTTCAGTCTACTAACATTTTGGCATCGAAAACTTGGCAACGTTGTATACTGATATTTGAACGATGAAGTTCTAATTTCTCTTCTTAGTAATCTTTACCAAACAACATTTCGGCGTCAAGATATATATTTGGATATAAATAATGTGACTTACTGTCATTATGGCGTCAAACTATTATTTAAATGAAATTAAAGTACACGTAATTTTATTCATCATTGCCATTCACCACTCAACAATTTAAACAAGATTGATGAAACATAATTTTTTCTAGAATGCTAGTTAATTATGTTACAAGTGAATAAAGAAATTTTTTTTGATGTTTCTTTCTCTATTAAACAAATCTTTAGGGGGTGGGTGGCTCAGAGCTAAAGTTTGGGCTTGCGAATCCAAGAGTCCGCAGTTCGAATCTCACCGTCAACCGGGATTCTTTTACAAACTTTAATTATTTAAAAATAATTTTGATGTCCAGGTAGGATTCCCCACTCCGGCCATTCACTGTTGGGTTCTAATTAACAGTACTTTTCCTAATTGGCGCTGGGAAACAGTAACAAAGCCTACACAAAACACACATAAATGAAAATCAAACACAAACTGAGACTGGCATATTAGGTGTATACACATAAGCATAAAAAAATATTAACGAGAAATTTTATTACAAGAAATTATTTGCGGTTTTTAAAGTAAATATCTAGTACATAATATCAGAGCAAGTAGTTTAAATCAATATTTTTTTGAAATAATTTTTGTTTTTATTTAGTAAGGTACCACAGTTAAATAGGATTTTTTATATTTGGACAAATTTATTAAAATAAAATTAAACTAATTATATTTTTTTTAAAGCTGAAAACATTAACCTAAACTATTTATTAGTAAAATATAAAAATTATTAAAATGGACAGAAAATGCAAATAATAATGAAAATTAAAAACACAACGAACCAAATTTTAAAAATTTTTTGTTAAAAAAATGCGCAACTAAAAATACCATTCGACGTGTCCTAACATTTTTCGGAACAGGCTCTAATTTATTTATTACCGAATTTTTTCCATTTGGCTGTTTCACAGTATATATCTTCTACTTCCAGTTTCTCGTCATTTTCAAGTAAATATTTTTCTATCTCAACCATTACTGAGGCCCTTCCTATGGGGCCTCAGTATTAAATTCGTGCAGACGAAAAAATTTTCGTACCATTTTTTTTAAACATTTTTACGTTTCCAAACATAGAGTCCGAAAATGTAAAAAAAAAAATTTTCGTCTGGTCCTCTGCGCGTATGTATGCCAGCACTATAGCTCTAGAACGAAAGTTCTGATTGACTTTCTTAAATAATTGCTTCTAATTTAGAACCCGATTGATTCCTAACGTCTAACATTCCTAAGATTCCTAATATTCCATACATTGCAAATATTCTCCAACGACCTGTCAAACAACAGCTGCTGATTGTAAAGGTGAGATTTCTAAGGGGGGTTGCGCCTTCCCTAGTTGCAACCCTACTCCTTATTTAAAATTATAAAAATAATAGTAGTTGGGTGTCTAAAATATGAACTGTGATTGATTTAATTTTTTTGCAGTGTTATCACTACCTAGAATGGATATGAAATATATTCGTTCAGTTAAACGCAATGACATACTTTTTCGTTTTGTAGTCTGCGCGTAGATAAGCTAATATCCATGAGGGTGTAGAAAATTAGTAGTTTGTGCAACAAGAGTGACTATGGCCAATATACTTGAGTTTTACAGTATATTTTTTCTACGACCCACTAACGAAAATCGACAAATCGAAAAATCGAAAATAAAAAAATCGAAAATCGAAAAAAATCAAAAATGGGCAATGAATGGTGACATTTCACATTTGGCATTACGTTTAACAACAATAAAATCTGTAAATTGTGTTTCATTTTTTAAATAATTGAACGCCCTAATTGAAAAGAGCCCAGAAATGTTGAGGGTAAAATTTTGACGTACCCCTTTAAGGATAACGGATGAAAACGGGTGCTTCTCGGGCTAATAAGATGTATTTCATAAAAATTAGTGATATACAAGACCTTGGATCAACTTTTTTAGTAAGCATCAGACGATAAAAGTATATTTAATTAAGGTTTTTCTTCTTATATTACAATAAGGTATTTATTTCTTAAAGTCTTTAATAATGGGCATAATGAAAGCTTGTCCTGCTAATGAAATGCATTGCATGAAAATTAGTGATTTACAAGACTAATTAGCTTTTTTTAGTAAATTTTTCCAAAACCAAGACAAAAACAACTTGAAAATTTTTAATTACCGAAAAGGTTTAAAAGATATGTAAAAAATACATCAGTAGTCGTCCAACACTACTATTGTTTAACTATCAGAATGATAAATGCACTGCCCAACCCAAATAATTGGTATTAATAATTTATCAAAATAAAAAAAGATGTTGCCGCTTTTTTAAAACTATTTTAAATTTTTATACGTAGGTAGGCTTAAGCGACAATGGGCGCAAATATTTTTACATGAACAGATCTAAGGGCGTAATGGGATAATATAATTTTACATGGACATATTTAAAAGGGACCGAATATTTTTAAAAAAATAGGCGAAGTAAGGAGTCCAAATATTTTACATGAGCAGGCTTAAGAGGTAAAGGGGCCAATTATTATTGGGTAAATTGATCGAACAAGTTTGTAAATCCTAATCAAAAGGCGATATAGAATGGTTTTAAAAATTAAGGCTTGTGAAAATCATCACATGGTTTTACCTAAGTAATGTCAATGCTTCACAAATCAAAAAATTAGTCTTAATACTACTCTCGGCTTTTGGTCTTTCGTTTCAAGTTATATCTTTCTTGATTTTTTTACGCTACGGGTTTACTCTTGTGGTCCTCAGTCTCGATAAGGCGGAAGTCACCATTTTAGCGTCTCTCGAATTATTTATTTTAAAGATTTTCCTGTAAAATTTGCAATGCATAACACAACAACGCGACACGTCTCCACTTTAACAGAAAAACTAAACTGAACTAAGAACTAGCTGGCTTTCCTAATATTTATTTACCATACTACCACCATTTTCGTAAATAAAATAGTACCTACGTAGTTAAAATGTAGGTAATAATGTAACTGTTGTTTCTTTATACTTTATAATATAATGTATTTTATAACATTTTAACGTCATATTATTTAAGGCAATATATAAATAAAAAAAAGATGCCAAATTGTCTATTAAGCTTTTTAGATGTCAAAATGTTAGTAAATTCTAATAGTATATTACATACATACTTATAAATGATGACGTCGAAATGATATTAAATATCCTTAAAAAATCATTACTTATATATATTTTTGTGCTATTAGTCTTTAAATAATTTCTTAAATCTTTCATTTAAATTATTATGTATACTGAGTTCAAATTGATTGTACATTTGGCATATGTGAATATATGTAAGACGTGTCGCCAAAATGATGGTATGTAGGTAATAATTTAACTGTTGTTTCTTTATGCTTTATAATATAATGTATTTTTAACATTTTAACGTCATATTATTTAAGGCAATATATAAATAAAAAAGAAGCCAAATTGTCTATTAAGCTTTTTAGATGTCATAATGTTAGTAAATTCCAATAGTATATTACATGCATACTCATAAATGATGACGTCCAAATGATAGTAAATAACCTTAAAAAATCATTACTTATATATATTTTTGTGCTATTAATCTTAAAATAATTTCTTGAACTTTTCATTAAAATTATTATGTATATTGAGTTCAAATTGATTGTACATTTGGCATATGTGTATATATGCAAGACGTGACGCCAAAATGATGGTATTTATAATTTCTGAAAACTGGCAACGTTGCATGTTACCAATATGTTTTCACATTGAACGATTTTTCGTACTGTTGCCAAAATTCACCTCAGAGTGAAATATACAAATATACATAAAGTATGTGATAGGAAAATTTCGACA